GCAACTCACAGAGCAACATTTTCATTTTTAAAAACATAGGTCTACACTGATTCACTTTTGCCCTTAGGGTGGCTATTTCACTAACCACAGATCAAACAAAGGAAACGCTCGAAAATTTAACAATTTACAACACAAACCCATAAACAGTCCAAAAGATACCTTTAAAATGAAAATCAAATGCTTTAACTCGACAAAATACCCCTAGATTGTTCTAATGGGCCTGCATGCAAAGTTGTAATTGCCATCACAACAAACCATCATGGCTGCAGCATGGAGAAATGCTACTCTTCAGTCTCTCGGAATTTCAACAGAAATACACCGAGTGAGATGCACACAGTGTTTTCAGTATTAAACACAGCATCCAGTTAAACTAAATACAATTCGGGTCTTTCAGCTGGGATGCGCTCGCACGTGCCGTAACAAAGAATCTTTGGGAAAGCCCTCAAACAATGGCCATTTTGCTCCCGAGCTCTCGGATTCCCTATGTAAGGGGAATCTCGCCGGCTGAATGTTTACAACGAGCACGTGGAAATTACCCAGAACGAGCGTGTAACATGCAAGCAAACATAAATACAACCGAATAAAACAAGATCCAGACTATACAAGGTAACAATAAGTTCTAATTTTGATCAACGTTTGAACAATGGATAACTTTGTACGCCATTCTTATTCGACTTTTGATGATATGTTTGATGAAACTCGATGGAAATTGGGGCACCATCCCCCGGGTGTTGAAGAAATTTTACTGCCAGATCCACAGTTACTGTATCTATAACCAATTTTCACACAGCTAAGAATATAAATAGCCATATTTACCTATAATTTCCGGCTGAATTTTAGTAATTTTTCAAGCGAGATTTTTGTAGACTTTGGGCCGTTCTTCTCTCTACATCATGCATCGTGCTAACAAGCACAAAACACGAGCAAGCTGTAATCTGATTGGCTTATCATCTGAAAGACACTTTACAAACTAAATCCCAGCAAATTGCTACGTGACAAAATATAACAAGACTGAAGCATCCAAGAACTATTTTTCTATTTGAAAAATGGTCCATATCTGAAAGATATGCGATTAGATTAAAAAATATTTTTTAAAAACGCTATGACCTATTTACTTGACCTACTTGCTTAACCAATCGTAATAGATCTACTATGCACATCTAGGCTCGTGACCAAGATTCATCTGGCCCTAAAATTATCCAATAAGAGAACTACAGAATAAAATGCCCGGATGATATTACTCCATTGGAAGTCTTGAATGACGCACCTGCACTTGAGGTCGCATCTAACACATTTTTCTTAACTTGAAATTCTGTAATGCACATATTAAAAGCTGCCAACTTAATTTGATTTATTATTATAACTAATTTTCTGCAAAACTGACAGAAAATTCTTGGAATTATTTTAATTTAAAATAAAAAACTAGGAAGGGCGTTTTTTTCTTTAATTTTTTAAATGCCCGTCTCTTGCTCTGGATCCTGTACAAGACTGCTATCAAAACATTTCTGCTTAATGCTAGTCACTACTATCAAACTTCCAAAGGCTAAAACATTTGCCACAGTATCCAAAGCAAATAAATGGACGATTTTCTGTCACAACAGGAAATAATAAAAAAATAATGAGCTGCGTAACCTGAGTGCATAGTTAGGCCTATTGAAATCCCTACAGGGTTTCGCAGTTGCAGTGGTTTTAAACCATGTAGGCCTGACTGTACCCACCGGATGGCGATGATCGGAGGGGCATTGAATCGTGAGTTATATGACCTACCCCACCTTTACTTCGTAGGAACCCCTTTCCCCTACTAGCAAAATTATGATAGGCCTATTCCCCGCATTGATAGGTTACGCAGTCGTTTTTTATATAGCCTAGGCCTATAATGTTGTCGCATGTTTACCAGTGGAAATCTAAAGCCTTCTGCTGGGGACGTACTCAGTACACCTAAAATGTCGAGCATGCACAGACATAACAGGGGTGGATCACAAACGTGGCTCAAAAATTAGAAAATCAGTACTCAAAAACCAGAGTTAAGGTAGTTATTCTGTGGACGTTTTTCGATATTGCATGCGTTTACCTCATTGAATAAGGGCAAAGAGTTGAAATTTCAAGGAAAATCAATCATTATTTCGCTTTACAGAGTATAAAGTCTAACGTTTATTGTGCGCCTCGAGAAATATCCATTGGTATTTAGGCCTATTCCTCTTCGTAGTGGATGTACTGAGCTCACCATTCTCACATAAGGGTCCCACCCTGTTATGCATTCTCTGTATCAATGTCAACACTGGTCATGCCCCCTGTCATCCACCCCGAGTTTCAAAGGAAACCTCAGGAAGCTCACCGCTCTGCTATCAGCATGCCGACAGTAGAGATGTGAGTTTCCAAAGTACCCTGAAACTCGGGTGTCGTTTCCATGCTGAGGCTTGTTCATAATAGGTGGATAGCTATAGACAGGTGGGTTTCCTGTGTCCTCTAGAACTCAGGGTACCTACTAGTGCTATCATCACGTCCCTTGTTATTTTTACTCAGATTCGGGGTTCGGGGCCTGCTATAGGGCCCCGAAATATTTTTTGTTTTTTGGAGGGCAAACAGTCCCTTTTGGTACGGTTTAGAACTATGATTCAGCTAGTCAAAATTCTAATTTCAAGAGGGGGGGGAGGTCAGGTGTCAATACATTGCATAAAATTACAAATAATTCAGAATTTACCATGCTATAGGCTACTAGAGTCATCTTTTTGCAATAAGGGTCTTTACATATTGGTGATTTAATTTTGTCATATGCATTCCCTTTTATTAGTTTGTTTTGGAGACAATTAGTTCTGTTCATGTATTTGATTTCGTGGAGAACAACTTTTTCTGTCCCTAAATGATACCCAAATAAACTTTGTTATTGGATTTGCTACCATAAAATCTTAACTACTACCCCATTGCACTTATGAAAAAAGAAAAAAAAAAACAGAATTTGATGTGTCCTGTATAGGTTATATTATACCTTTCAATATTCAAGCTACATAGACGTTGACTAATACAGGAGTGAACATGAGTAGTCATCCTTCATATACTGGTTATACGAAAGTTTTGGGCTGTGACATGGATTTTCACATTTGATTTCAAAATGAAAATGGTAGCAAATGAATATATAAATAAAATAAGAGAGAAACTAGAAAGTCACTCAGAGAGCGCAGACCTCTGCCAAGGCAGCAAAGTCTCCATCCAATGCCGTTTCACCCCTAAATTTTCGATATTTTTTATTATTGATTATTGATTATTTTTTATCCGGATCACCACCAAAACCTAATCATCTGTTCCTTGGCCCACTTCTGACAGTTCCTGAAAATTTCATCAAAATCAGTCCATAACTTTTTGAGTTATGTTGATGACAGACAGACAAACAAACAGGGGTGAAAACATAACCTCCTTTGCGTAGGCAATTAGGTGGGACAGACATAAGAACAATCTCAACTGATGGGACAGAAATCTATTTATCTGTTTTCTTTTGAATACATCTTTTGTAAATAAAATCTTTTATTTTCTTTTCCGCGCTTTCTTAATTCTTATGGAAACTATTTCATGCCATGGCGAACTGCAGCATTTTTTCCTCTTTCAACATAAACGTTGTTTAAAAAAGTTCGCATTTTTACGAGCATTGTAGCCATAAATACAAAAAAAAAAAAAAAAAAAACGCACAAGGATAAAAAAAGAATGAAAAATTATTCTAAAGTTGCAGTAGGCCCGAGAGAGAGAGAGAGAGAGAGAGAGAGAGAGAGGGAGAAAGTGTGTGTTCCAAGCAATTTGTGATGTTTTTGGTGTGCGTTAAATCTTACATGATCACTGTTAAAGCAATCAGTTTGTTCCACTAGTCTATATCAAATTGATCTGACGGATAAGAAACTGTACTTCAAGAATATTTGATGAAATGCTAAAAAGATGCAGACGGCAAATGAAATTTTACCTACCGAAAATGGAGTTTCAAAGCCACACATATTAAGCAAATCTCACCGTCTGTGGAAACCGTCTTCTGCCTTTGAAGGTCGGTTAAATGTTGCCTTCCAGAATTGGTGCCACCGAGTCCTTGTACAACTGCAGTAATTTGCGCAAGATGTCTTTGGCGTAAGGGAATGTAGAGCGATTTGTCACCGAATAAACTGCAATTTAAGCGTTTATGCTCTCAGACTCTCCTGCACCCACTGTCCAGACTGTCGTCTGCACGAAATAATGAAAAACGAGATTTGTTTTTTTACGATAATCAAATTGTCTAATTCGATAGTCTTTTTTCATTCTAAATTCCTAATGGTCGCTCTCACGACCGTCGTGACATACGAAACAAGAAGCATTACCCCAAAGCCGGTTTATAGATCGTTTTGGTTTTGAATATAGTAGGGTCTAACGTCTATTAAGTGCCTCAAAAGAAAAGTTCACTTTCTATCTCTGCTACTCTCTATAGGCCCTACTCATCGATCGCATACATGAAAGTAAATACTTTGAAAGTTACATAAAAATGCGATGAGAAGAAGAAAAACCTGTTATGTACTAGCTAACGGAGACAAATGCATTCGGAAGAGTATAAAATGTCTCTCAAGTCGAAGCAGGCTCAACAGATCGAGAGAGAGAGAGAGAGAGAGAGAGAGAGAGATGTGTATCGATGTTCAAAACGATTTTTGATGTTTTTGGTGTCCGTTTAACTCAAAGTCAGCACAGTTAACACAATCTCTATGCTGCGTTGTTCTGTACTATTTTGACATGACGTTGAAACGTTTTGTGCTTCAAATATATATTACGATCTGATCGAGCCATAAAAAGACTTACACGACAGACGGAAGTTAAGTTTGCAAAAGAAGAGTTTAAAGTGAATCATATCTATAGACGATCCGACAAAGCTCGTACATGCTTTCATAGTGTTTATATTTCATCACATCCAATATCTGCACGGCATTGCTGAGCAGGATACGGATGACAATGGCGTAAATTTTTCTGGAGTTAAAATACTTTGCAAAAATTAAAAAAGAGAAGTCGACTTTGTCTAATAACGTATAAATATGGTTTATTTTGCGACACGGTGGAACAATACAATAATATCAAGGAGCTATTCATGTACACACATATTCACACGTAATCGTGAACAATTTATAAATACGGAACAAGATAAAAATGGTAGAAAGTGAATTAGGTTAACAGTAAATAAATTTCACATCTCAGGTCACTTGAAAAGGGCGCTTCGGTAAATGACTAACTTAGACGTTTTCAAACTGATCAAGACTTTGTAGTCACCAGACCGCTAGGTAACTCTAAAGTAAAGCAGCCAATTCAATCTATGAAACATGTTCTACCACCCTGATTTTCCGAGGCCACTTATATCGGCATGTCACTGACGGCAATATGGGTGAGTTTCCAGTGATCTCTGAAATCCAACGAAGGCCTACACTTGTACGTAATCCAATTGTCTTTCTCCATGAGATATTCTTGAAACCTCAATGTTTTGGTTGTGCCGTTCTCGTTTGCGGCCCCACAAAGTTATATTATCATGGCCTTTAAAAGCTGGCCTCTCTCTCGTTTCTGCGTGTTGAAACAAGATTAAAGCCCAGCGCACGTTAAAGGTAAACCTCTCACCGGGATGTTTCGGTACATGATGCAGTCCTGTTTTCAATTAGTATCAGCATACTAAAGCATGTAGAGATTTTCGCAAGATTTCGAACGAGAGGGCATTTTCTTTTTGAACAGGCGTCGAACTAGGCTTTTGGGACCCTTCTTCTTTTTCTTGTTGGTGTCTTGCTCTTTGGCGGCGGCCTCTGCCTCTGCTTGCTTTAGTTTGATTTGTCGGAGCGTTCCCACTAAGAGCTCGTCAACGTTGTATTTCAACAGGGCTGACGTTTCTACGAATTTTGCGTGTTCGGTTATCGCCAGTTCTTTGCCCACTGGTAAAAGTGAAAATTAAAATAAAGATAAATGGTTCGGCAGATGCTATGTATGCTATGCTATTGCCAAAGTAAATACAAATGAGACGCCAGGTAAAGTCACGTAAAAACGAAGATATTGCAAAAACACCCGATGCTTAACTGATTAAGTAAGGCGGTATCTTGTTTTGTGTGTGTGTGTGTGTGTGTGTGTGTGTGTGTGTATTCAAGCATTTTACTAACAGAAAGTAGAATTGTCCACGCGAACATTTGTTTTCAATTTTACTCCGATCGTATTCGACATGTTCGATATAAAAGGTGTTGTCTATAGACGTAATATAGGATACAAATGAAATGATTCGATCGAATCCCAAAGAGACGTACAAGTACACGATGATCGAAATTCAAATTACCGAAAAAAAAGTTTCAAAGCCACACACATAAAAAAATCGCTGAAACAGCTCACCTTCTGTGGAAACTGTTCTCTGTCTTTGAAGATCGGTTTTGTTGCCTACCAGAATCAGAGCCACCGAGTCCTTGTACAGCTGCCGTAACTTGTGCAAGATGTCTTTGGCGTAGCGGAATGTCGAGCGATTTGTCACCGAATAAACCACGATGTAAGCATTTATGCACTCTTCTGCACCCACTGTCGTCTGCAAGAAAAGACATCAATATAATAATAGCAATAATTTGCCCTATCTGTTAACTCTGCATCATTTGTTTAATTGGATAGTTTTTTGACAAAATACTAGACTCCAAATCATAGTTTTGGACCTGTTTTTCAACTACTTCACAATTGGGTTGTTATTCGTCAAAGCAACACAGGGATAACTAGGGCCTATATATCTCATGAAAATGAAGAGAAAACTTTATCAAATGCCACGTGCACGTCATATGCATATACACCACGTGATTGTCAGAAAAAAATAGTCTTGCCAGATTAAAGGTTTAAAGAAAGAAAAGAAGAAGATTTAAGTTTTGTAAAAGAGGTGTTAATGAACTCGTTCGGACCAAAAAAAAAAACTTTGAACTCCAGCTATTCAGCAATCTAGCTTGTTTGTTAAGTCGGATAAAAGACGTGAATAAAAGGAAAATTTATAATAAAAAGCCGTTTTAGTGAAGCATATGGTGCCACTAAATTGTCCATTTTACCTTCAATCATACAGATTTCGTATGACGTCAATTACTCGTTTAATAATTCAGTGCGTCTAATAGCGTGTCCGATTCGTATTGATGAACAACGACTAGGGTTTCACAACACAATTAAATATATATACACTGACTCAGCAACACAAAGCAACACTATAAGTTTCTGCTTATTAACTTAATTCCATTCCAAAACACACGCTTTAGATAAAATATCAGTGGAAAATTGGAACTTTTCTTTGTGCATGTTTCTTCATTTGTGCTTCATATATCTTAGAAAATAATGAAAATTTTCCACTGAAATGTAGGTAGATTCAAAAAAGGAAAGTGTACAAGATCTGGAGTTTCCTGTTTCCTTGTTGCTTATTCAATTCCCATGAATTGTGCCTCTGTTACATTCAATTGTTTTTAGCAAGAAAAGTCTGAGTTCAAACTTCGAGATATAGAGTTCCTGGAACCATTTTCACTTCGCCTCTCTTAGCTATAGTTCAAGTTAAGCCCTAAGTATGTGTGATTTGGATTAAGTTAGATTTTTTAAAAATTATACATGTATAATTTCATTGTATGTAAGCATCTATAACTTTGTCTTAAGATTATGTTGTAAAGTCTATTTAACGCTTTTGCATTTCAAACTCATACGAATGAACATATTATTATTATTGCCGTTTTTACACCTAAAGTCAATAATTGTATATCATCATCATTATTATTATTATTATTATTATTATTATTATTATTATTAATGAGCAGTAGACATGAGTACAGTGTAATTACAAAAGGAATGGAAGTAACCAAGCGGCTACTTTTGTAAGTTAGCGATAAGACGATTATTCTTAAAACAGACTGGATGCGCGGCTGTCTTGGTCTCTAATCAAGGTTCTGAAAACAGATAAAGATAAACGACCAATGCAAATACCGCTAACCACAGAGAATAAATCTCTTGGCACCAGGTGTTTCCCAGGATTATTGCAACCCTTTCAATGCCTCTAGCCAAGCAGAGTAAGATGATATATTATTGACAGCTTATTTACCCCGAGTCGAAATTGTGCACAGGTTAGAGAAACGCGAGAAGAAGAAACACGTTATCTACCGTGACGCACTACTTACATTTTGCACAAGGGTGGTGTGTATTAAATAGTCTCATATGAGGTAGGGTCTCGCTTTGGGTGGTAGTTAAAAAAAAAAAAGACATTTCAGTTTCTACTTAAGGAGACAGTCACTTGATTGCAGCCCTAAATAAGCAATCAACATAATGATCTGTGAACGAGATAAAATATTCTGCGAGGCGCGTTCTCTTTAAAAATTTATTAAACACTAAAATTGTTTTTGTGAGAACCAAAAAAGGGGGGGGGGGAGAACGATATTGCTTTGTTAGGAACCTTGATTCTCAGATCGGTTGGACCCTCTATACCAGGGCGACAGATATTCACAAGATATTCACAGATTTGTCTTTAGATAGATGGACAGTCATTTGATGCTATACTGGCTTTTTTGAAAATTTGCCTATAATATCTGTCACCTTTGTAGAGGGTAGGTCCGTTGCATGCCAGCTTTCAAATGTTAAACTTAATAACATATTGACAAGTATGCTTATGCGCAGAATGCTGTCCCCGACAGTTATCAAGACATTTGCGAGAAACCGAATATTTAGGCTATATGTACACCAGCAGCAAGAATTTCATTTATGGACAAATAAACGTCAGAAGATATATGGACGCATTAATAAAAAAGCGTTTGATGATCAGTTAATCTTGAATAGATTAAATTCATCAAATGGATATCAATCAATGTATCTATTTAAGAAGGACGCTTTGTTAGGCTCCCTAAAAGATAGTGACAACCTAAGGACGCTTCAATTGTACGTGAAGGCTAAATATATAAATAAATAGAAGGGAATCTGAGGTATGATTTGGACGAATAAAAGCTTAAAATAAGTTCTGCTTAGTGGTGATGTTTGACTAAAATTGCTGTAATAAACATAGTTATGATGAGCTTTGCTCTTGTTTTTGAGTATTTCCCCCTCGTGCTTTGATAGATAAGAAGTGCTGTTTTCACGCCGGTTGTTTATCAATTCTCCTTGCGTTTTGGTTAAATTATGTATATTGTAAATTATCAATTTTGTTATTTGTCTGACAAACAACCGTTTTACTTATTCCAACAGACTGCGATTGATTTATCTTGGATCAAAGTTGACGTAAACTAGGGTCTTGGTAGGCCCTAGATCAAAATGAGCGATCTTTCGGGTTAGATTCCTTCCAACCAACTCGAATTCATTTGCAAACTAAGAGTGTTTTCAGACCTTTAACTAAGTGGATTATAAGTGATGGTTGCCTCCCCACAGCTGGAAACATGCCTACGATGTGTGTCCGACATCACAAGAAGCCGCAGGTAGATGATACATGTGTGTCGAAATAGAAAAAGGAAAGTAGACTTAAATGTTATATGAAACTGCTGCATTTCACGAGGTTGTCACTATCTTTTGGGGAGCCTAAGCGACACGCCCTTTGTATATTTATATTAATTATACTTGATGTAGTGAACCGTTAATTATGTGATCTACATATTCGTTAATGCAAATTGTATCCACAATTAAATTTTAAGGTCTTAAGGCATGGCATGTCGCATGTCAGTAATAGAAGTTAATCTAAAATGTAAATTAAGTTCATGTATGAAAGTAGAGAGACTGAGAGAGTCAAGAGTTATAGATACCACAGAGAGAGAGAGATGGTAGAAGAGACCTGAGTCTTCAGTCGGTTGAATAAATCATGTAGCAGTAAACTATTCCTGCCTGTCTCAGTTGACTTACTGGTGAAAAAGTAACTTTAAGAAGGTGTGTATAACCACCGGCCGGTTATTACATTGAGATAAGTGTACGCTAGAAAGCAGTAAAAGTAATAACCTTTGAAAGAATTAGAATTTCGACCCTAAACTTGCTTTTTTTTCATATCCGTTTATTGTACAACCCCCCTCCCCCCCCACAAACACACACACAAAGCGGTATGCAAAAAAGGAATGAAAGTAAAGAAGAAAAAAAATAACAATCAAAGATCATATGAACATCAAGATGATATGAAGAAAGACGTTACCAAAAATACGGACAGGGAGTGTTGCGCCTCGGAACTATACATGTACCTGTTCAAATACGAAGAGAGATTGATTGTGCCGTCTGCGCAGTAAATGCCAACAGACTAAAATACGTGGATCGGTGGGGTTTTGTTTTGTTGAGAAGGCAAGCGAAAATAATCTTTGAGTGAAGATGCGTGGTACAAGTACTTTTTTATGGGGCTTATTTTATAACCTGATGAAATGCGAGACTATTTCATTGATTCATCATGTCGGCTGTTGGGATTTATCCAGCAAACGACGTAATTCATCAAGTCGTCTGCTAGATTACGACAAAAGATCAAAGTAAAACTATGAATGTTGTATAATGCAATGAATAGGTTAGATTAATGATCGACAGTTGAAATATTTGGGGGGGGGGGACTTAATATAGTAAAAGGATTGCCTTTTCGGAAGCGTGCTGAGATGGTAGTGACGCATAATGACGCAAAAAACGGAGACTGACTCAGCGCGCCATGCTTTTAAAAAGTTTTACAGGTAACGATTCAAAAATGCTGTAAATTTGCGCATTACAAATTACTGACAAAATAAGGGAAGAAAGATGAAAAGGCAGACAATATAATTGACTAACGCTTTGCAACAGTTGCATGGTATTTGGTCCTCTGACTATAGATATAGTATACCTATGTATCACATGTTGGATGCTGTGTTGGGCTGTCATATTTTTCGTTCTGTACTGTAGATAGAGAGGAATAGGGACAAAAAGTGTTGATGTGCGAAACACGAGTAACGAATTTCGCAAAAAGGGTGAAATTCGTATAGTATATAAATATAATAAATATAATAAAAATAAAGTAATGTTTTGCCTCGCAATCGATATCGTACAGGGATGGAAAAATATCAACTTGATCCTTAAAGAAGTACATCTCGAAAAGCAAGAGGGATTTCAAAAAAAAAAAAAAAAAAAAAAAAAAAAAAAATGAAAGCAAGGAATATATATATAAAATTTGGGATAACAAATACATTTTTTTACTTTATACATACCAGATTGGACTGCGGTTGTAGGAAACAAATCTCGGTTTCCTCGTTATCTAACCCGACCACAACCGATGCACCGTGGTCGTCTCCTGCAAATAGACAGAAATAAGAATAATTAATGGGAAATATATTTGCTTTAGTATCAATAAAACAAGGGCTTACATAGTCTGCAGTAGTTTATCGTGGGATCTGATTCCGGTTTCTCAAAGGAACTTGAGGTCAAAAGCTGGTCTTAAAAGTTCTTAAACCTAAATTTTAGGCTAATTTTACCCGAGATAAATCAGTGGCAATTCGGTTAAAAGGAATATTGCGACTGTTTTATATCCAAAAAATGGCCAATATGTTCAGATAAACGGTTACGTTATTATAATAAACTACTATGGATGTGCATTTATCCCGAATTGAAGTAGGCCAAAGAAATGGTAAGTTATGGCCAATTTATTCGGTGACTCCGGCTGAAGCGTTCTTTGTTTTTGATGTTGCCCACTTCGGCAAAGCTCTTTCTGGTGAATTGGCAGTTTTTCACATATAAGACAACAGATTCCTTTTATCTGATGTTATTCTAAAGAAAAAATTGTAACAAACTGCATATTTTTGCAATGGAAAAAATAACTGTTCGCAAACTAGTTTTGCCATTCAAAAATAGAATCTGTATTTTAAAGATCAGCACAAAGATTGCCTCTGAATTTCAGGGTGGTGAAGTAAAACGATGCACATAGACTACAATCAGCGTATTGTCGTGGAACTTACGCTTATGGGATACAGAAAACAAAGGTACATGGGTAATAATATATTTAAATATTAAGTCTTTGGCTGTTTTATTCAGACGAAATACTATTTCTGCCAAGATGCAGGTTTAACACAGCCATTTTAACCAAAGGAAATGCATAGTTCAGTGCAAATATGTGAGAAATTTTCGACAAATTTTCTAGATACTGGTTTAATCCAATGACTGGATGTATACACAATATCAATCAAAAGAAAATCTAGTTATATGTGAATGGAATTTAAATCGTAATGATATCCAGCATATAGTTACAATTTATCATTGAATAGCCGCAGAGATACTTTCTTCATGTTATGTGTGCGTTTGTATCTATATGGACAGCTATTAGGCCTACACTGAAACATTTGCTTCATGTGGAATAGCCTTTCCAGCTCGTTGCTTGTCTTACTTACTTAGATATATACACCTACGATAGATACAGACTGTCTAATAAAATGTGATCACATAAAGCACTTTCACAATGTAATATATTCAAGACAGGGGAAGGATGGGGAAATTGCAACGTAAATAAATAAATAAATAAATAAATACACATACCCATCACGAAGGGACTGGAAAGGATTTTATCTGGAGCGGGGGTGGTCGGAGAATCTAAACACACGGATCTGGACGTGGCAAACTGACGAACGAGAGTGCTTCGCCCCACTTCGCTAGCCCCTAGAAGATATACGTATCGTTTCGGTGTTGGCTCTGTGGCCTGTACAGCTGATCCATTGGTGTTAATATCAAGGGATTTTCTAGAATTTAAACTCTCCATAGAGTCCGTGCTTGCAATGGATCGCCTTTTGAAAGAGTCTCCACGTCCGAGTAGACCTTTGCGGGAAAGGACGAACTCTCGCACCACGTATGTGTCCCCATCTTGAATCTGTGGTTTTTTCCTTGATTCCAAGTCGCTTACATTACCCGCTGATCTGGAGCGCTGGAGATTGTCTCCAGCGTTAGGTATTTTCAGAAGGGACATCGCCATCTCCGGCATATCTGATATTCGTAGTCTCTTTTATACGGTTTCTCGTTCGAAACGCGTTTAAACACGGTAACGATTCACCCACTTTCTGCTGCTTGTGGCGTTCCCTCCTCAACGCTGTTGAGATGCACCGGTTTCTTCCAGAAACTACGCTGATTCAATCGCTGTCGTTATATATCAATGCAGAGGAATAGGCTAGATTCCCTCTTCAAAGCCAAGCTCTAATCGTAGAAAAGTGAATTAAGCTTGAATGTCTATCTGCAGATGCGGTTTGATTTTCTCTGGAATCACTGCAAAGGTATCGCAGCAACAGAAGCAGCGTTGTGTTCGCCTCACGTAATTGTTTTGCTGTGCTGTTAAGGTTGCTCTTCGCGTTTTCTGGAAAAGTTCAAGGCTTATATACATACATTGGCTAACATATATGTATTACAGCATGTGCTATTTGTGAATCATGACTAACTCCGTGTAATAATAGATAATCGCGGAGATGCGAAAAAATGCAGGCCATGGCAAGGTACAGAGTGTATCAAAAGAATCTGATTTAATGATAATACTTAAGATATGTGCTATGGGAACATCTTGTGTAAAATGTCGAACAGCGTTCCAGCTCAGGCAATAGTAAAAAAAAGCATATAGGAAAACAAACAAACAAACAAACAAAAAACCAACCAACCAACCAAACAACCAACCAACCAAACAAACAAACAAACAAACAACAAGCAAGCAAGCGAACAGATAGATAGATAGATAGATAGATAGCAGTGTAAATATGCGGCCTGGATGTAGTTCAAAAAATCAGATCTGCATCATAAATTTTTGTTACCTTCAAATCACCATTTAATGCCTGGAGTCGCCACGGACACGAATCGTTACATTAAAGGTTTTTTTTTATTACGCGTAACTCTCTGCTTGAACACCTGGGTCAGTTGTGGGGTGCTTGAAAGCTCAATGAACTATCCAACTACTCGTAACTGTCGTTGATGAATGGTGTCCGAATTTTCAAATTTGAATCCCCCCCCACCTCTAAATCATTGCCTGTCTGTGTGTGTGTGTGTGTGTGTGTGTGTGTGTGTGTGAGAGAGAGAGAGAGAGAGAGAGAGAGAGAGAGAGAGAGGACAATACCCTTCCCACTGAAAACAGCAAATCATTCACACAATTGAAAATAACATGGACAAAAGCCTACCAGCAAATACGAGTCATTTCGTGACCCATCAATACAATTCCAATCATTTTCAATCCCCCTGTACTTCACTAGGTGGCGTATTTCCCATTCTTTAGCGTGCACCGTGAAGCACCAAGGATTGGTCGGACTCAGCGCCTACGTACATCTACAGCGTCATGATATACACGCAAACGTCAATATGCTTTTATATAGAGTTTGAAATATTGACACCCTGCGCGTAGTGGTTACCTAAGATTCGTTTCTTTTATCAGTATGTCTCTGCTGTTTAATGTTTCTTGTGTGGTTCCAGTGATCTCTGAAACTCAGGGCGTGAACTTTACATATATACACACATACATGGAAGACTATACACATATACACGCACACACGGAAGATTATACAAATGCCAGTACATGTACAAGGAAGCGTGTCAAAATTGTATATTGCATTAAGACGTTATTATAATTAGTTATGCTAATTAGTTTATCGAGTTGGTCAGTTTTTGTTTTGAAAACCACTAAGTATTACAAATTGAAGGGAAAATAACAACCAGGAATCGTGTATGTAGCAATGTGTTGTGAAGATCATCTGTATAAAAACTTATACCAGAAGGAGAGAGAGAGAGAGAGAGAGAGAGAGAGAGAGAGAGAGAGAGAGCTCGTATTACAGAGAATTTCATGTCAAAATCAGTTTCAACTTAGGCTACTGATGCTCTTAAATTGGGTTTGATATTTTCTGTCTGTCAAACTGTAAACTTATCCCCAACTTCTTTTTCATGGGCTGCATATTGCATTTAGAGGATATCATGATTAGTTATGTTTATCAATTACTAATTGGCAAGGAATCTCAGGCGAGGTGAAAGACCCACTGTTGATGGATTACAATATGCCACCGCTGATGGATTACAATATGCCATCAAACTGAAATGTCTGTAAAGAAAGAATGACGCATTTGCATTTGGATCTCACCTAACGCAACGGGAGTCTTGTCTTTTCTATCTACAGTGTGTTGTCGATGTTTTAAGCAATACTGCATTGCTCTGTTTTAAAAAATAACTTTTGATTTGTATTGAGCTAAGACTGTTTAAGTCGGAAAGCCGACTTAATAAAGTCGACTTTGTGATATTGGTCTAAGTGCACTTTTCGACGGATTGGTCAATAATGAACTTACGACATGCGACTAACGACATTCTGTTGTCACCAGTGCGAATAAAATGTCATTGGAAAGCAAACAATATTAATAATAAAATGATTGAGGCACGAGAAGCTCTATATTTCACTTTCACTCGCGAATTCTTTATTTTGAGTTGACGAGGACAATGACATTGATATTAAGTACATAGGGTTGGGGAAATTTGTTTGCGTTGAATTTGACTCGTTTCGCTTATTATACTGTTTCGTAGGGTGGAGATGGCAAGAAAACGGGAAACGTCCAGAGCTAAAGGGGATATGTGGACCTCTGCACCCCTATTTGGATCCACCGTTGCTTTTCATAAAATGGAATGGATGTCCAAGGTCAACTTTTCCGGCCCATCATTTAAAATGCTATCAAAATCAAAACGAATGCTCTAGATACATCTACCGATATCGTCTTGTCTGGAAGCCTCTCTCCACAAAGTGCGTGATTTTGAGCTTTATTGGTATTTTGGATAAGAAATGTAATTAAAATGTCATTAAATACCATCCCGAAGTCCTATAAATCTTATCAATCACCAAACTTGCTCTATCTTCATTTTAAAATGTTAGTTTCGTAATAAGATTATGTCCAATTACATAGATATTTTTGTATAATACCTTTATCTATAGTCCTATATATAATAAAATATATCATCTTTATAGAAAAGTAACCTCTATATACACTGTCTAGTATAATTAGATAATTATACATAAACCACAAGTGTATTATATTTAATTTCTTCATGGGACAAAAACAACCATCTGTATAGGCTTTGTAATGAAGTTTAAATTCACAATGTCTAAGTACAATTTAATGTATCACAAGTCGTGTTTTTCCCGCTAAAGTTCGGTCGACCTAACTCGGTACTCATCTCAACAGACCTTTTCACTGCGATTAGCTCACCACAGAATACCAAATGAACAGCACGTGTCTCTTTTCTGTTGGTGAATGGACGGAACAACAGAGGGAGTAGATTGGCCCCAATTGTCGAACAAATAGGCAAAAAGATGGCGAGAGGAGTGCACGAATTTATTTTACTTTCAATGACGCACACTTTAAAGAAGCGACAAAGAGGAATCTACATGTACTTCCCTCTACCAGGGCCACAGACAGATTTTTCACTAAATATTCACATATATTTCACGTGTATTTCTGCACGTGTTGGAGAAAAGTGCACATAATTAATCTGCAGCCCTTGTAAAGGATAGGAATCTACTACCAATCACGCAATTAGCCTGTATAAATAGAACATACTGTATATTACCTTACACACTGTATTTGTATTTTAATGCCCGATAAGAGTTAATAAGTAGACAATTTCAAGCATGAAGTCACATTCAAGGCTTTAACAGAGTGAACAATCTTCAAAATTGTTTAACCTCTCGTGAGATATTCCGTTCCTTTGGTTCCTTTGCTTTTTTTTCGATGGATATTTTCGTTTTCTTCCTGCTACATTCAAAATTAATATCAACCAAATGACCCCATTCCTACAGGTCTGACTGGCCTTTAGAAAAGAAGCTTCATTTAGAAAAAGACCCGGAAGTTTGATTTGTACATGTACATTACAGAATTCGGCGAAGATCATACAAAAATCAATACAGCAACCAATATAGGTACCAGATACAGTATTATCTGTGAGAGAGAAGCGAGAAACTTAATTCGTCTTTCCACGAGAAGAATTTTTTATGCAGTGGCATTGTATAATTCATCGCAAACAAACATATTAAATGCCAACTAAGAATCTACAATTTAAGTGATGGATTAATGACAATGCTGTACACAAGAAAAAAATATGAGTAATGAAATAAATTCCAAATTCTTGCAGTGACTTAATGTTGATGGGTACCACACAGTCCAACTTTGAAAGGCTGACCATCAATTCTTTGCAAAGCTACCTGAGGTTTATAGCTGTCGCTGTTCATTAGAGTGGCAAATCTACCTTTGTTGCTAAAATTTTCAATATTTTGACAACTTCTTTTGAACACAGAGTAGAGATCATGCCGGAAGCTGGAATACAACGAAGGAAGTAAGAAACCAATGTTATCCAAAACCGTGTTACATAACCATTGCTGCGAGTGTTTGTTTATCTGGCAATGCAGTCGTGGCCTTGAGGAATCGGACTTCATTTTTTTGTTTAGGAAAAACAGCTGTTGAGGGAAACCGTCCAAACGTGTACCTAGAGCACCCTTGATAATGGAGAAGTTGTGATGTTGCACTGACGACCAGAGGGCATTATTTATTTATCTGCTGGAAAAGATATGCCCGTGAGAAAATTGCGTCTTTGACCAAATTAATAGACATCCATGTATCGATTAGATCAAACGCGCAGGTAACAGACAGCGGTACCACAGTAGTTTACATCAGTCTCTCCTTCCGAAAAGTTCGCCTTTGATCAAAATTCCAAGATGCTTTATTCTTTATGAGTAAATGACGAATATATCTGTTAAGGTACAAATGGTCATGTAACCGTTTTGGATCTAAACACGCATGCAATTGTATATGAATTTGTCTTTTTGGGCAGATTCGTATTTTTGAAATAAAAACTGCTCAGGAAGTGTAGACACTGCATGATAGTACGTTTAACAATGTAATATCATGCTCATTTCATGCATGGGGAAGTGATGCATTGCCTATTACAGGTGTTTGTATTGCCGCATCTGATAAACGCTGTAAATATTGCGCAGATGTACCATCAGTACCATTTAGTCTGTGGTGCAGTGTAGTTTTAAAGGTTTCGATTGGGTCTACTAAGTGTACAGTCTGTTGTTGGCGTAATGTGCATATAGGTGTCAAACACAATGAGTGATGAGTGCACAGAATGCTTTATAAAGACGCTTACAATTAGGTTCAGGTATTAAGGTATTATACATTTCAGGACGACCGCAAAAAGAAAAAAAGAGCCGGCTTCCGAAGAGAGATGAGTGCATCACATGCTGGGTACATCTGGTGCATTTATTTCTGACAAGCGTTGATATCAAACGCATTTAAATTATTTCAGATTTATTAGTATTTGTGTATCGTGTA